ACATATTTGGCTTAGAAAGATGCATTAGAAAATAAATAATTTCATATCTTACTTGACCTGTAGATCAAGTTATTGAATGCATTAACAATTGCAAAATAATTGATTTTGTTATGATAATTTTGTCTGCAAAATATATTCAACTAAATAAACTAGAAGTCCCATATATTTATTCTATAATAATATTTACATATATTGCCAATATTACGTGTTATAATTTTATTGGTAAATATAAGTTTCTATAGGTATGCATGTAAATAATGAAATTAAGATTGGATATATAATTCTATGAAACTATTATATGATATCATTTTGTTCAAATTAAATTAATCGTGCCGATGCAAGATATATTATGGTGTTTTTTAGAATAACCTCTCTTTGTAGTTTTCTCAGTGCAAATGAAGAATATATTGATAATTCCACATATCCAAGAGATATGTTAGAGGAATACACTTCAATATAAGCTGATGATGATGTACTATGTATAGTTCAACTAAAAAGAAGATATGCTTGAAAAAGCATTGGACGACTTGAGAAACTAGTATACTCTATTATGATAAAATGATATAGAGTTATGTTGTTGACAGGGGGAGCAAATATCATGCTGTACTCTTTTCCTTAACCAAGGTTTTGTCCCACAGGGTTCTCCTGGTTGAGGTTTTTAATGAGGCAGCCTAAATATATATTGTATACTTTTTTTCCTTCACTAGGTTTTTGTCTCACTGGGTTTTTCCTAGTAAGATTTTAATGAGGCATAATATTTATTTATAGACATCAAGGGGAGTGTTATAAATATTAGAATACGTGGATGTCCATAAATTCTCTCAACTCTTGACCTTTCATATTCGACACTTTATAACCTCTCCATTGAATAGTTTTTAGGAGTTTTTATTCCATAACTTAGAGGTTACATGTACCACACTTATGTGAATTAATATTGTAATTTATTTTATGTAACCCTTGGTTGAGTTTTGGAGTCTATAAATAGAAGGCTATGTAATGCACATTTTGATCATCCAAATGAATAAGAATACACTCCTCTTTCTCTCAATTTCTCTGTTATCTTGCTCATCTTTTTCATTCCAAATCTTGCTCATATTTCTCATTTTCATAACATATCAGATGATGTAACTGCGAGGAAAGTAAGAGACTGAGCAAACTCGTCCTTAGCTAAGAACGATTTCTTCGTGATTTTAATCCCGTTCTCACTCTAAACAAATTTAAGTATATTATCTTAGTAAATTCTTTTTATTATGGGAAGTTCTGATAATTTATTTTACTGTTCATAGCATATTGATAAATTTGCCTTTATAAATACGTTTAATGTAAGCTGATATTTTTATAATATATTTATTTCATATTCTATAAATCACGATTCAAAAGCTATTTATGAGCTATTTTAAACAAATTCTTGGTTGAATAAGCCTGAAGTTGAAATGGATATCTTGAGCATGAACACTATAGACTTTTTTTTAGGCTCAGGTATGAGCTTTAAAAGGTCCGCTATTGCTTAAAGCCAATTTAAAAGCCGAATTAAAATATAAACTTTTAAATAGGTTTAAAAGTCTACGTTACCAATGTTTTGTTTAGATGAGAAGAAAAGTTATAATGAGAAAAATTGTAGAAAAAAGAAAACTAAAAAGAAAATGTTTATTACTTCTTATGTTTAGGTGATTGAGAGAAAACACAGAAAGAAAATGAGCAATAATATCATTCAATATAAAAATATATAATATTTAAAATCAAATTAAATACTGTAATTAAAAAAATCATATTAACATCAGCATCTTTGATGAAGATGTATTTCTATGTCACTATATTTTAAAACAAATAATTGGGGAAAAATTCTTATCTTTCAAGGTACCAAAAAAAAAAGAGAAAGTGGATAATTTTTTGAAATTAGATATAATAAAAAAATAAATAAATTATACATGTACTAAGAATATGATATAAAAATGAAAGATGGAGGGCACGAAAAGAAATTTCTCTTCGTCATGTATCTCAAGCCTTTCAATGCTCTTTCCTCCGACAAAAATGCTAGGTTTATTCCTCTCTTGTGTTGTTTTGAAATCTTGTGTTTTTGTAAGAAGAGTTCATTTAATCTCAAGAAGTGCTACGAATTTAATCCTCACAATGTTGTAAAATATTTTTTAAGAATGGTGTCCTTAAGTACGACTCAAATCCACTATTGTTTACAGTGCCGCCGTGAACAAAAAATTTTAATTAAATAACTATTTATAAAAAGAACAACAAAATGAAGGAAAAGAAAAAGGGAAAAAAAGGGAATATCTCATAAAATGAATATGAAAATTACTAAATAGAGTTGGTAATACGAGCAAGCTTGCTGGTTATGGCTAACCCATAGTGGTTTGGAAGACTGGCGGGTTAGGCTTAAAAGAATTGACTTCTAACATATTGGTAGTTAGCCAATCCAAACTCGTCATGGTGGGTTGATGAACTGGCCTGTAAACCAACGCTTTTTATATTCTTAAAAAAATATCTGAGCAAAATAATATCCAATATATCCCTATCCTTTAAACATCAATTCAAATTTAAAAACCCCAATTCTCAAATTAAATAATAAACATATATCACTTATCACATTTAAAAATTACGTCCAATTTCAATAACAAGTTCAACAACTCTATAACGATATAAACAACTCTAATAACGTCATTCACCACATGATTTAAGATATGTGTTAACATTAAGAGATTTCTGAATACCTAATAAATTGAGAATTTTTTAACTTTTGTAACACGTTTGACAAGTCATATAATGATATGAATGAGTTCGGTAATGCAACTACCAACATATTTTCTAGAAAATTGTGAAAGTGAAATTTTTTTAATTTCAGTAACATAGTTAACAACTCTTATAATGATATTAACAATTCTAATAATGCTATTCACCACATGACATAAGAGGCATCTTGATTTTGAGAGATTTCTAAATGCATAATGAATTGAAAATTTTTCAACTTCTATAACCTGTTTACACGTCATATAACACTATTAACAAATTTAGTAATACAATTAATAACATGCTTTTGAAATATTTTCATAGAATAAGCACAAATTACATTACCACGGCATACTTATTTTAGCAAATTTCAAAATGCCTACTTGGTCATATATAACTGAAATAGAATTTCTCTTATTGGAGTGACTATTTAGGTTTCAAATTGGAATATCATTTTATTGTCATTTTCCCATAAATAATAGGAACAAGGAAAATAGTCCAATTGCTAGCCAAAATCTGTTTTCAATGGCCATTGAATATGTTCTTTAATATTAATGTTATTGTAGGAGCCATCTAATAAAAAATATTATATTAAAACCTTGGGATATTGGTGTGACTATGATGAATTTTTAAGATTGGTATGTTATTTTAAACAAATGAATTGTTAACCTGTATTTGTATTGAGTTTTTATGATATATTATAATGAATGGAATTTTATTATTTTATTTTAAATCTAAATTATATTTATTTAAATAATGGAATCATATGTAATCTTTTTATAACCACAGTAAGCATTGAAGATAGAACAAAACTTAAGTGAAATGGCTTATGCTCATTAGACTAAGTTTATGAGTGAATTTACAAGCATGTATATATATGCGTGTGTGTTTTAATAACTAACAATAGCAAAATAAGTGCTCATATAAAAACTTATATATATATATATATATCCTAATTTACATTATATTTATAACAACTGATATAAAAATTTACAAGTCTTTATAGGTGAATTTACAAAGACACATAGGTATTTTAATAACTAATAATAGCAAAATAATAAATATAATTACAAAAACTTGACCTAATAAATATAAACAGCTTAACCTAATTTTTGTCTTACAGAATTACAATTTTATAAGTAAATGTACAAGTGCAGATAAGCATTTTACTAACTAACTAGTAGAATAATAATCGTTCATATGAAAATTTACAAGTTCTCATCTACATTCTTCATATTTTTTTATGCAAAAAATTGCAATTATTCATAGGTAAATTAATAAGTACACTTACACATTTTAATAATTAGTCATAACCCAAAAAAAAAATTCATATGAAAATTTGCAGGTTCTAATTTACATTTTAATAGCTTTTAATACAAAAATTATACATATTTATAGGTGAATTTATAAGTACACATAAATTTTAATACCTAATAGCAAAATAACATGCTTCCATATTAAAACTTTACATTCTAACAGCGTCTGATACCAAAAATCACGAGCATTTATAGGTGAATTTACCAGGGTATATACAAATCATGACTAATCATGTACACTTCATGTTGCAAGTGGCTTGGAAGTTATTATTTATATAAAATTTTGCACTCATAATTAGAGCCAGTAATATGAGTTGAACTCGCAGGTCCAACCCGTCAACCGGCACCGCCATATCCTAAACTTGCAGCGGGTTGACCTGCCAACCCGCGGGTCAACCCACCTATTTTTTTAAAAAAAATAATGAAGGCAAAAGTAAGGCAGACTTTCACTTTAAATTTCATTGCCATTAGAAATAATTAGATAAAGAGGATTATTCAGTGTTGCTCCTTGGTTTCATTGGAAAAAAAATGTGTGAACTTGTATATTATCATATTCAAAAATTGGACAATCATATAATACTTGTGTTTTATTGTATTGTAATTTTCATTTGGATATTTGTCATATTTTATATCATTTTTAGTGTTTTTACTTTTGATTATAATAACTGCTAACATTTAAAAAAAAAACAAAAAAATATAAATTCTGACAGGTTCTTGCCACTGAAAAACAAATCTTTTGAACCCGCATCGTGTAGCCCTCAGCTTGATATGAGTCAACCTGCAACCTGTGGATTAGCTCGTTTTACCAACCCTACTCATAATGAATCGAGCTTAATGACTTGATAATCATAACATTTTTGTGGAGCCAAGCAGTCATGATTTCAAACCCCTCCTGGACCCCTTTGTTTGAATATTTATTTCTAACGGTTGACGGTGAGTAGAGAATTTTGACAAAAATGAAAGAAATTTGTGATTTCTATGGGAATAAAATTGATACAAGGTTGAGTGTTTCTGCATGCGAGGCACTAATTTTGTGATCATCTGCTCAGACAACAGAATCTTTTCACGGCGACATCACACACAAACATCCTCTTTGCCTTGGATTTACAACAACATTCAACTTCTATGAACACCATTGATCGCTTTCTGTAAAGTCGAGATGAGTTGTTCTACACTTAGCTCAACAATGTCTCCAGTTGGAAGATTTAAACCCTCGTGATATTCCTGCTCAGTAAAATCTACCTTCTTCAGCGTTGCTTTGTAATTCCTAGCGGCTGATCTTGCAGGACCTCTTGCAATTGATAGCTGTAAAACCAGAAGAAGCAATCAGCAAATAATCTACAATTCTAGAGTCAGAAATCACCATATCACCTGAGACAACTTCCATACAAGAAATCCCTTTGTATATAACTTTGATATTTACTTTGATCTAATTTTCAATCATTGAATTATTTATAATACTTCTTTTCCACAGTTCTCAGAAATTGAATACTGCTACCGTTCATATATTGAAAAATAAAAATATTCTAGCTTAAAATTTTGGATCTAACCCAACCATTTACAACTAGATTACTCTATGGTCTCAGGAAGGACATGTAGGTAATAAAGATCAATGGAGATAGTTGAGCCGAAGCGATACAGACAGCACCAAACTCTAGTTTTGGACTGATCTGGGGTTATGGACTCAGTAATGGGGTGCATTATTCCATCTTCTTGTTCATGACAATAAAATTGGAGCTCCCAAATGGAGAGAAAATGGATTTGGTGATCTATGCAGCAGTTTTGTGAGAAGCTTTTACTTTTTCAAAGACAGTGGCCATACGATTGGCCATATCTATGAATTTCAAAGGAACTTTGATAACATGAAAAAATTCAGGGTATACATTCTCTGAGTACTTGTTTTATTCATGGTGAGGAGATTGGTTTGCATAAACAGGAGATGATGGCTGGAAGTCTGCCATTCAATCCCATAAAAACTGCAACCGCAATGGGAAATAAAATCATTAAGAGAGATGCTACATCTTAGGAGCAAAATCAGGAATTAAAGCACGAACAAATCATAGAATATAAACGAGCTAACAGAATCAGAATCTCAACCAAAGCTGTAACCCCAGTTGCTCCAGTAATATTTTTGAGCACAGAGAATAATTCTGCAATATCATGCATACATATCTTCATATCTCAGCAAGCCAAGCCATCTTCAATAGGTATTTAGCGCAAAAAAAAAAACCCAAAAAAAAAAGTAAAGAAATAAATAAGAATTCCCATTTTGACGAAGATTCGGCACCTTGGATACTTATAACATGAGAATGCTCAATTCCAGCACAAAGATAACCGGAAATTTGAAACTAAGAAATATAAACTACTCTTTCAGTTAAATTATATTATTCATTCTTTTGTTGCAAAGGAGTCTTAAGAGTGTGGTCATAAGCATACCAAATCTTGCTTTTCAGCCGACTACAGGGACACGATGGCCCGCTTTTGCAAAATATTAAAGATGAGGCATACCTTACTTAGGTCTCTGACAGATAAGTAAAGTTTAAATATCATCTTCTGCATATAATTTATTTTGATTCAGTCCTTCAATCACCAAAACTTCAACACACCCCCCCCCCCCAAAAAAAAATCCTATTTGGATACAAAATGTCAAATCCAACATAATAGTAACTTGGACATTTACCGATACTGAACATCATTTACCCCCACCTGAAATTGCTCACTTCCAGACAGCAACATGTTAAATTTGGCATTAATTTTAAGAAGGAAAAAGTATCAAAGGCAACATGGAGAGCATTTTCACGACTGAGGCTGAATTGAAATAAAAGACACCATTGAAAGTGCAACTATCTGTCAAGGACCAAAATAGGGTTTCACTAGTAGGGAAAATACAATATCACATGCCTGGAAAGGATATTAGGAGCTAGGACCTACTCAAAAGGGTCAACATGTTTTGGTGCTATTGTGGTGATAACTCCTTTTTTTATGGACAAAATTGGGGTCATGACTCACACAGTGTCAATGTAATTTACGGGGTCTGTTGAAACATATCTTTGTAAGTGAACTAAGCTATACGTCTACTCAAAATGGATAAGGAACTCACACAATGTCTTTTTCCAAGCTCGTAGAGCCAAAATCTCCACTCTGCCATATGCTTCCCATCGACCTTAGCTGATATATTGTTCCAACTTATGTGACAAAACTCAACTGTATTCAAATCGTCAGTCAGTCCACTCCCTAAGGCTTTAACATATGCTTCTTTTAGGCTCCAATACCTGCAAAGCATGCACAGTTCTCCCTCCATTTAAAAGGATCATATTCCATTTATTAAAACTCCTACTTCTTCTGTACGTAAAATTAAACTAAGACCTGACCCTTCCTGATATTATATTATTACATTGTTCATATGTGAATTAAGCTATTCTAGATTCCATCTTAACGATTGCATTGTATACAATCTCAAGTTTCCTTTTTCTTTTGTTTTTTTTTTTTGGGCAAAATCTCAAGGCTTATTTGATATAGTCTTTGCATGAAGGCATCAGATAACAGCCCAATAGGGGAAAACAGGCAAGCACGCTAAGTATTCAGCTAATGTTAGCTACGGATGCTTCTTTAAGTGTGCTTCTGCTTTTGAGAAATACTAAAAAAAAAAGAAAAGAAAAGAAAAGAGAAGAAAAGATTGGATTACTTACCTAAATATAGATAATAAACAAAAAATGAGTCAGTGAAAACATTACACAAAGCTTATGGGCTTCAACAGCCATCTCAAAGCAGATAAACTTACAGAAATGAAGAATTGGACAAAGCCAAAAGAAGAAATTAAAATATAATCATACCTAAAAAACTCAATTAATACATTATCAGAGTTCCAGCGTTGACTATGTTATCCCATTCCAAACTTGAAAAGTATGATGAGAAGTTTAGAATGAATTCTTCAATTGTTTCTTTCTGAGGAACATCATACGATACAATATCTAACCCCACAAGACATATAGGTTCAGAAGCTATGCCCACATAATCACCATGATGGGATACATTAAAATTAAAATTGGGGAATTTGAGATCATCTTCATCATAATCCTGAAAAGGAAAGAAACAAAGCAATAAAATCTTATCCCATTGGCAGAAGCCTACTTAAGGGTGAAAAATATGATTTAATAATCTGGTAATGTAAAGACCAAAGACACATGAATTCAATACTGTCGTGTTCAAATTTGAGCTAGATAATTGAACAGTGATCAAGAACAGAATTTGCTGAGTTTTCCAGCTTTGAGCTAATGAAACAAATACATCGCTATATGTGAAGAATACAGGATGCTGTAAATTATACAGAGATATGAAATTACAAAGAATAAGGTTACTCAAATAATTAAACTTATCATGCAAATCATTAAACAGTTTTAATAGTTTACCACTTCCAAGATGAAGCACAGCCATAATTTTTATGTCTTGTAATTAGGTCTTCAAATCAACTCTTATTTATTGTCTTAATTTTTATTTCTTTCCCAACAGATATGAAAGGAATTGATCGTAAAAAGTTGCCACCACGTGGGTCACAGATGTAGAGATAGGGCTCTTGCCAAAATGTCAAGCGGTTCAAAGTTCTTCTCATAAACCCCTGATTAGTACAAAAGCTAATTTTGACTAGCAGCATATTGCAAAATGTCATATCATTCTTGTTGGGATGTTCTTAGTTTTGTATATTAGAAGGGTAAGTGAAATAAGCCCAACAAATCAAGGTTGCTAAATGCAACGGCCCCCCTGGCCCCATTTTCATTTTTATTAAGCAGAAAGGCAAGATAATTTACGCTCCGTCCCCTTTGATGTCTTATTAATCAGTAGCATCATATGAGATGTGGTTTTCTCTATCACATGCACGCAAGCCCAAAACCAAACTAACCAGCATGCACACATGTGCAGGAAAAATCTATCAGTTAGTCTAAAAGGTGGTGATCAAAAGATAACAATCATGTTCTGGGCTGTCATGTTCAAAAATGATGAAAACCAAATCAAAGAATGTAACGAAAGCATGCTTTGTCCTGGCACGAGAATACTTAGAATGTACAGGAATTTTGTGCCTCTCCATAAAGGAAAAGAAGGATTTGCTTTACAAAATAAGGAAAAAGGTCGCGGAAAGACTTATGGACATGCTTTGTGCTGTCTTGAATAAATTACACTTTAGCCACCATAGAATGAGAATAATTAAGTTCAAATGTAGTTATTAGAAATCAGACTTGTCCCCAAGTCACATACATTGTTGGTCGCCTTACATTGTGGGGAATAAAGAGTGGCAAGTCAACAAATTTGCCAAAAATAATAACATACACAGGAATTGGAGACAGTGTACAATTCAAATGCACCACCAAAGAATCAGAAAAATGCACCATGGAACTTAATTTTACTTCATTAATCAGCATACATGTTATGTCATTATAATTATAAATAAGAAAAGATTAAAATAGGATTTAAATGATATCATTAGGATGTAGCCTGGATTTAACTATATTAGTAGGATTTGGAGAGATTAGGGTATCTAAAGAATATTTAGATAAGATTACGATATCTATTAAGATTTAGAACTATTAGGACTTTTGTCTATAAACAAGGGTAACATAACATTGTTAATGGGCATTCTTTGTTCTCTATCTTTGTTTCCTTTCTCTCCCATTCTCCCTCTCTTTCTCAGCTAAATTCTATAACAATGGTATTAGAGCTGTCCTTCATCGTACGAGATGAGATGGGTTTTGATATGAAACAACTTCAGAGCAATTGACATTAGAAGAAAAAAGGGTTGCATTGAGCAAATAATTGCTAAATGCAGGAGGTAGCAACCTCGCGGGAACACTAGGAAGCCATTAAAAGAAAAGCTTTAGAAGTTCAAGAAGATGGGTTTGCCCTCTCGATAACCAAAGAGTACATCAATGAGAAAGAAGACAACCAAACAAATCTTACAGGCACCAACCAGAACGTGTGAACTAGCATTGAGAACGATTCTAGAAAGGCTGAAGATCCTAATGCAATGTGAATGATGGGTCCACAAAGCTTCAAACTATTGGTCTCTTCAACATGGGGGATGCTCAAAGGTTCTTTTCCAGCTTCTTCACTGTTGCTATCTTTTCCTGATTTAACAGACTTTATATTCAATTCTCCCTAGTCAGCTGCTTGTTCTGATATGGTTCAGAGGGAGTCTAATTATGATATTAATGGGGTCTAATTTTGTACAATGTTTAAGTGTACTTGAACTTTAGGGGCAAGGGTCTTTTGGGGGATATTGTAATGTATTTATAATTATAAATAAGAAAAGATTTAAATAAGACTTAAATAGATTTAGAATAGGATTTATATAGGGTTTACTTATATTGATAGAATTTGGATAGAATAGGATATGTAGAGAATATTTAGATAAGATTAGGAAAAGATTAATGATATGTAAAGAATATTTAAATAAGATTAGGATAAGATTAATATCTATTAGGACTTATGCCTATAAACAAGGGCAAACATATCATTGTTGATGGGCCATTGAATAAAACTGATATTATTCAAATTATTCTTTGCTTTCTATCTATGTTTCCTTTTTTCTTCTTTTTCCCTTTCTTTCTCAACTAAATTCTATAACAATATCACATTTTTTGACCTTTTTGGTTATAAGAAATATTCATACCAAATACGGTTTCCCTTCCAATGTCCGTTTTATCATGAATTTGCCATATCGGACATCCATTGCGTCACATACAAGAGCATACTGAAGCATTCGGCTCACAAGTGCCCGTTTCCTGTCTTCCAACTTAATAAACCTACAAATCCACAAGTAAATCTAACAGTCATGAGACCTACAAAAGCCATTTGCATATATTCTGAACAATCTAAACATTGCCACTTGACTCCAAATGCTGGAGTGTATTACCATATTCCATGAAATTTAAAATCACTATAGCTGATACACACATAAAATTTATATAAAATGCTGATGCGCAAGAAAAATAAAATCTCCATTTGCACATCTGACCAAATAAAAAAACTGCACTTGACTTTAGGCTTGAGGCTTTTTACCATAATATCATATTCAAAGGTAGAACTTGTAATTGTAGCAGTTGAGATAAACATAAAATTTTTAAGGGAAAAAAATTAACACTAGAGAAAAATTCCCACATGCAATCATGAAAATCTAAGTTATTGCAGGAACAAACTTATCCATATTCTAATTCATCTGCCACTAATTTTCAAAATAACACTGAATAGACACTAATTTGGATATAAGTGACCAAACAGAAATGTCAAGGCCTGAAACAAGGAAGCTCCAAAATACTTGGGGAGAATGCTGCCAACTGGACTTTTTGAGGAGGCAATAAAGTCGACTAAGTACTACATTTTGGTCCATTACCTTAAAGCATTAGGACTTATGCCTATTAGCTGATCCACCTTTCTATTATTCTCACAGTCTAATTTTATCCAATATAATACTTCAACACTCTTGCATGATCGCAAACAATCTGCCCTTCAAATATGAGTTCAACATAGACATACTCCCAATTTTTTTAGTATAGTTACAGTAGGCCGACCTCCTATCACCTTAGAAAAGCCCTCAATACTTCACCTAAGAATGGGTCTCACCATCACCAACCTTTCACAAGCACAAGATCCCTTTCTTTGCCTTTGAAAGGAGTTCATCGCACCACTCATCACTTTAGTTTGTACCTGGCTATCTCCACAATTTACAGATCGTCAGTCACACCTATCTCTAACTGGATTCAAGCCATTTCTCGACAATCGACAAGTTGGAGTCACACCCGTAAACTAACAGTGCCATTCTGTCCAGTTAGATCATTGTCTTCCAGTCAAGTCATCAGGTTTGATAATTGATACCAAAATATTGGAAGTTTGTTATGGCCTCAACTCAGGGACTCAAGTTACCAAAAGATCATCGTCCGTTGGATCTTCGGAGAGAAACTTTGAACAAAAGTATACGTGTCTGACTCCAAACATACTGCAGATGTTTTACTAACAATTGTCTTGCTATTTAGTCCATAGAAGTTGTTCTACATGTCTGTGACTAACAACATAACGCTGCAGATATTTCGCTTACTACCATGTTACTATTTGGTCAGTGGAAGTTGTTCTTAATCTAATGCTGCCCATTACTGTTAGAGTTCCCTTTGTAATCCAAGGAAGCCATACCGAGTCATCTATTAAAAAAAAGAAAAAAAAAACAGAGAAATTAGAGTTTTCTTCAACTCTGGAACATACCAAATGTTCTCCAAACTCCTGACCAGCCGCTTATGCATCTTTATCTTCACTGTTTCCTCTCATGTATCTTTACCTTCACCGGTTCAATCTCCACCATCTTGCAAGAGTGTCTGTTCCCTAATACACCCAAACTCTCATGAAGCAAACTGAAGGAATTGAACCATTTCTTGTTTGTTGTGTAATAGGAAGGGCATGCCAAACCAAAGTCCAATTGAAGTTGTGCTTCACTTCTTCTATCACAGAAACCAGAAAAAGAATTTTCCTTCTCTACCTTGCACTCGAACATCACAAGATCCATTTCAAATGGCCTCCTGGACCACAAGTATAATGGTTAAAGAACCTATGATTTCCAGCTTCCCTTTGACTTTCCCAACAAATCCATTAGGGAACATAGGGTAGCCTTCTCATTGAACACTGAGAACCCGGGAGAATCAGAATTCATATCTCAACTTTCCGGGGGTGTAGAACTGTGAAGTTGAAACCATATCTTGAGATAATAAGGTATTAAGGCGTGAGACCTATAAGCCAATCCTCTACTATATTCTTCTCAGAATCCAGTTCTATCAAATGTAACTTCCCCACTCACAACAAGGAACAGCTGAACAAACAAAACGCTAATATGAACGTGAGGGGAAGCAAACAAAAATTAACAAAGGACAAAGATTCCTTCATGTGATTGTGAAGAGAATAACAAATAAACCCCACCAGAACTTATTACTTCACATTGTCATTTGGCAAATCGATATTCTCTACCAAATATCAAATGCAAACTGTAATGACTGGATTTAATTGACCAAACAAGAAAACAAGAGCTGAAATAAGTTTTGAACATCATAGAAATTGACAAGTCTACTAGTTTTATAGATAATCAACAGTGAATCCAGTTAAACAACCAGCAATTCCACAATATGGGAAGCGTAACCTGGTGATGGAGGAGTGATCATGGGAAGGGAGAAGAGAGAGAGCAAAGGAAAAATCGCCGGGAAGTGGGTCCCACTTTGAAATGTCTACCACCCATCTCCGAACACCTTCCTCCATTGTTAGCGACTAGAAAAGCATCATGCGTACTTGCAGTTCCTCAAGGCTTTACTTTTCAAAAGGATTAAAATTCAAAAATAGAAAAAAGAAAAGGTGCCCAGAAGAGGACAGGATTACAGGAATGCTAAGTACAGGCCAGGGACGGCACCCGAACGAGTCGCTGGTCCGAGAGGAAGCGGGAAGTGAATTTTTCATTTTCTATTCATACTAATATGCTCTCAAGAATTTCACATTTATAGGAAGAGCTTATAGGTCAATTGGCACTTCTGCCTCCTCTCAACTAGGGGTGGGGTGTGTGATTCCCTTCTGCAAGAAGGTTTAAATTGTTGGTGTGAAAAAAAATAGGGTCCGAACTATTTTTTCAGGTGTGTTTAGTATTCTAAAGAAATTTTCAGTGCATCCAGTATCCCAAACTAATTAAAACGATGCATCCATATCTCGGGTTAACAGAAAAGTTAAGTTTGACTGTTATCTTACTGACTCAGCCAAAAGTTGACTGAAAAATCCTACGTGGCGAATACGCAAATGTCTGATGTGTATTATTTTGACGGATTAAGGTGCGTCCAGCACTCTGAACTATTTTGCCAGGTGTGCCTAGTATCCTAAAATAATTTTTTGTGCATCTAGTGTCCCAAACTAATTAAAATGTTGCGTCCACATTCCAGACTAACAGAAAAGTTTCATTTGACCGTTACCTTGCTGACTCAGCTGAAGGTTGACTGAAAAATCCTACATGGCGGATACGTAGGCGTCTGATGTGTATTATTTTGACTAAAAATTCAATTTATTTCCTCCTATTCTAACATTTATCTTTTGCCAGCTTTTAAACTTAAAGAAAAGAAAAACCACTGATCTGCCCTCTTAAATCCTGGTACATGTATCACCCATTCAATCACATCCTCGTCTTTAACATTTTATCCATTTCTTCTTCCACTACTCTGATTTGAAACCGCAACCACCATCACAGCACGCTTTTGTCTTCGTCTTTGTCAACTCCTCATTCGACTCACATTTGCTTTCCTCCTCGTAGAACACAGTAAACTTCCCCTTGGTCACTCTGTTGATATCACTGTCGCCTCCCGAGAAAACACCTGCCACCACCAAGCTCGTCTCGGGAACTTTAGTCAAAATAATACACATCAGACGCCTGCGTGTTTGCCATATAGGAATTTTCGATAAACTTTCAGCTAAGTCAGCAAGGTAACAGTCAATCGAGACTTTTCTGTTAGCCTAGGATGTGGACGCACCATTTTAATTAGTTTGGGACACTGGATGCACCAAAAATTACTTTAGGACACTAGGCGCATCTGGAAAAATAGTTCGGGGTGCTAGACGCATCTTAACCTGTCAAAATAATACACATTAGACGCCTGCGTGTCTACCACGTAGGATTTTTCGATCCACCTTCGGCTGAGTCAGCAAGATAACGGTTAAACTTAACATTTTTGTTAGCCTGGGATATGAATGCACCATTTTAATTAGTTTGGAACACTGGATGCACCGAAAATTACTTTAGGACACTAGACGCACCTGGAAAAATAATTCGGGGTGTTGGGCACACTTTAACCCAAAAAAATATAATAAAGAATTTTTTACTTATGAATTTAATTTTTAAATGATGTAATTCAATTTAATGACTATGACAGTTTAACTTATGAGGGTTAAATCCCTTGTAATTAATCAATTTTCATTTAAATTTCAAAAAATATATTTATATTTAATTCTCTATGTAGAATTTATGAATAATTTTTTAAAATAATAATAAATGAAATAAAAATGAAAGTTTGTATCATACTACCTTCGGTCCTTAATATAAGAGCTAGTTGACTAATTTAAGTAGATTAAAGAAACTAGTTAAGTTAATTATTTGTAATAAATAAGTGTTGTCTTTCTTAAAATATCCATGCTAATAAAGTATATTGGTTAGAATTATCATTCTTACAAACACTACTTTGGGGAAAAAAATAGATAAATATGAGAGACAAAACGGATTGAGGTCTTATAATTAGGAGCAAAATAAAAGTCAAATGAGTTTTTATATTAATGACCGAAAGTAGTATTTTTTAATATAAAAAGTCAAAATATATTATTCAAACAATACATTAAAAAAAGCTCCTCAAAGAAATTTCTACTAAAACCCGTTTGAGGAGTCCAAGCAAACAACAAAAACCGAAGCACATTGAAAACAAAGCAAAACATTGGGTTCCATTTCAAAAAAGAGTGCCAAAATTACCTGCTTGTCATGCAAGACGTCAATAAACATCTCAACAACCAGGCGACAACAAAAGAGCTGAAGAGCTTTCATGATTTAGTAATAAGGGATGAAAGGCAATGCCTCCACGGATCACCCCTAGAGATATCCACGACGTTTATAGCTTTAATGCTACTAAAAAATCCTCCCAACATAGCTGTGATGAGAAGTAGAAGACTAAGAAGCCACACCAGATAGTGTACTAAAACCAGATGAGTAGAAGAATATGAGCTACAAGACAGCATCATCAAGACTTAAACACCAAGAAAACAAAATAACAGATAACCCAATGTGAATATATATAGGCAGAGGGAGGGAGCAGCTTGGACTTTGCAACCGCTGCAGCAATAGCTACCCATTCTACAGTGGTCATGCATGGAGCTGATGATTTGGGTAGGTGAACCTTTTGGCCAAAGGCTTTTTGCAGAAACACAATGACAGAGACACATCAATATGATATGCTTGCCAAGCTCCTTTTCATGATGACGCAGTCCTCCACAGTGTTGGTATATGCAAAGAAATCGTGATAAGGAGTAGGGGATGCTAGATAAGCTGTATTATTGCAACGAATCTCAACTTACTCCTCTGAGTTAGGGATGAAAGAAGACCAGAGGCCTTTCAGAGTCTACGGTCTGACCTATTTTGAGTCTGGCTTGTTTAATAAATAGGCTAAAGCCGAGCTTTCGACTTAAAACTCGGTCTCCTAACTCGTTTTTTTTATTTTTTATTTACATCCTTATATGTGGTATAATCTAAATCAATTTTATTTACATTATTATATATAATTAACCTAAATCAATTTATATTATTACAACACAACTAAAATTTACCTTATATTTTAAATTTTTATGCCTTTTTTTGTGAATAACTTTTTATGCCTTTTATTGACTCTTAGAAGAACTTATTTGTATGAAATTCTTCTCATTCATATAACCTCTTGCTATTTGTTTTTGGGGTGAGTCTAAGCATATTTTTTATCCAGTCTTTTCTTGATATGAAATTTTTTTGTGTGTAAAGTTTCAATTTGAAGATCATGTACCTATGGTGAAAATTTTAATTTTGTATTGAAAAAAAAAGTACTTCATGCCTATAAATATACACATTGGTTGATTAGTATATCCATAACTTGTTTAGTGCTTAAGAACTCACAGTATCATATTTTACTTTTGATTTATCTAAAGCGTTATAACTGCATTTTCAAATCAAGTCTATCTATTGAAAAGTAACGATACTATTAAATAGTCTCTTTAATATTAATGACTTTCGTAAGAGTTGTCCAATAAAAGAGAAATTATGTTAAAATCTTAGATTATTAATTTAATCATGATATCTTCTTAGAATTTCTTATTATTATAAACAAATTATCGTATGGTTGGTGGCAAAAAAATTATCTATCTATATTAATGTAATTGAATCAAATTTTTATGAGGTATCATAAGTAATAAAATTTCATTATTATTTTATTGTAAATTAAAATTAAATTTATCTAGATAATTAAATTACATGTAATCTTTATAGCATCAAACCTTATTTAAAGCATTGTATGAGATTTTAAATAGGCTTGAAGAGTTATATATATAACTAGAAATTTCTCCCCGTGCGATGCACAGATTAACCTATTTGATTGTATTTAAAAGTTTAATAAATTGCATTATCTAAGATAGTTTAAAATTTACTTCTAATAGGAATATTTTTTTTATTCATTTTAATGGAATTTGAATTAGAGATACAGAATTTATGGTGAATAGATGAAAATTTGAAATTAATTATTTATTTCTCTATTTAAGCCTCTTATTGACATGCTATTCGATTATGATACCCCCATTTAATTTAATATATTCAAATTTCAATTAAGATTTAATTCAAATTGAAAGTTAATTATTAATTTCTTCATTTGAATCTCTATTTGAAATTGCATTTATTTATAATATTTCCTATTTAACTCATTATATTCAAATCTCAATTAAGATGTTATTTATATCTCATTAATTAAAGATATTCGGATCATATAATCTTATATCTGACCTGTTTGTAAACGAATCAGGTATTACAAGTTTTCAAGAATATAATTGATTGATTGATTGATTGAAGGTATAAAGACTTATATTTTAAATGTGCTTTAAAAAGGCTTCAGGTTTGACTAGACCTTTCAAAGCTTCAAACTTAAGCCAAAAAAAAAGTATACAAGCTTAAGTTTGCTTTTGTTTCATGCCTCAGGCCTATTTAATAACGTCTGATTTGGTTTGGCCTATTTCCACCCACTAATCATAGAAGTGATTCTCGTATAGGATGAGTTTGAACGATTATGAAGAAGCAGTGATTGATGAAGCTATGGATGAAATGAAATACATAAATCAGGATAGGTGTCACGAAGTCAATGCATAAACTGATAAAAGTGTAGGTGGGAGGAATAATAAACCTGCAAAAATATGGTTCCTTGTGCTCAATAACACTATCCTTAAAAATTATTTTGTCACATAAGATTAGAATAAAACAATAAGAGCGTGGAACGATAGAAAATATAAATAGTACTCCTCCGGTCCTAAATAGATAAGACCCATTTTATAATAATTTACACTACATAATCAGTTTCATATTTAAAACTCAAAGAGTATTTAAGAACTAGTGTCGTACGAAGTTGAGTCTCAAATCTCTTTTTATAGGTCATGAATTCATGTTGATAAAGTGATAAGGTTGTTAGGTATGAGATGAGTTAACATTGGGTTGGGAAAAAAGAAATAAGGGATAAGAATAGAAAATATTTGTTGAAGTGATAAGATTTGTTAGGTAGAGAATGCATTTAATTCTCTTGACATGCTCACATGTACTACCTCCATCCTTAATATAAGACCCTATTTGACTTTTTGTTTGGTCCTAATTATAAGACCCCAATCCATTTTGTCTCTCATATTTATGTATTTTTTCCAAAATAGTTCTTCTAATAATGATAGTTCTAGCCAATACACTTAATTAGTAAGGATATTTTAGGAATGACAACACTTATTTATTACAAATAACTAACTTAACTTACTTCCTTAATCTCCTCAAATAAGTCAACTGGGTCTTATAATTAGGACCGGAGGTAGTAATAATTACAACAGCCGCATAACCAGCACCACGAAGAGATTCCTGCCTAAGGATCATATAAGCCTTAAATTCGAAACAGTCCATACTCCATACACCCAGTGGAACCATGCAACTCATCGTTATGCCAACAAGGAGGTGCTTTGGTGGGAAAACTGGGGGCTAAAAAAGGAAAAAGTGAAAGCATCTTAGGTGTCTGGTCATTAAAAGGACCAGACGCCATCCATAAAGGAAGTGTTTTTTTTTTTAAAAAAAAAAACATTTGGGTTACCTGTAGGGCCAAGTCCAAGAAGGACTGGCCCCCCTAAGTGGTTCGTTTCTGTTTTTTGAAAAAGTTCTAAGCCACTTATTTACTACAGAGTAAACATTCCAGCAAGAGTTTGGTCTAACAGAAAAAGCTAATCTCTCACAACATAACCAATTAAGATTCGAATCCTATTAGGAGAGATGTCTACATTTAGTGTCTAACAGTACCTCGAATAGGATTGCCTCCAATAGGATGATACGTACGGTTTAGCAAAAAAAGAGTAGACACCTTAAATGTCATAAATTAAATATTATTAATATTAATTCGTTCTTGTATTATTATTAAATTATATCACTAGTATTTTTTAAATTTTTGTTCTTCTATTTCATTATAATTTCACATTACAAATTTAAAATATATTTGCTTTTCAAATAAGTTTCATAAGTTTAAGTGAAATTTATTTTCACCTTATTTAAAAGTTTCATATATATGACATATTTATGTGTGGCTCCTTTTATATATGCAATAGAAGCAGTAGTGTGACAAAGTTATTTATGACCTCTATTTTTTATGCAATAGACGCCATGAGTTATTATTACTTTCGTTCCTCAAGTAACAGAAGTGAAATCAAAATAATTAAATTAGTAGTTTGTACTAGTAATCCTATGATGTTTTGAAATATCTTTTCTGAAAAAAATTATTTAATATTTTTCCTCCACTCCTTAATAAATGAACTTTTTGAAACGTACGCATTCATCTAATTAGCGTAGAATTGAAAAAAAATATTTAAACACAAATAGACTCATTAATTAATTTGTTTAATTTTAATAACTATGTATTATATACATATATTTTTTTGCTAAAGTGTAAGTATTTTCTTATTGGAGGTAATCCTATTCGAGACACTGTCGGGCACTAAATGTAGACACCTCCCTCAGTAGGGATTCAAATATTAGTTCACTAAATTATAAGGGATTAATCTCTTTTGTTGAACCCAATCCCCGTATATTATGTATTATATTCAGAGATAGAGAAAATATTATATATAGAAGTTGGTGGTCAAAAAACTCACGTAATCTAATCCACGTGTGGACTTATAAAACAGCCCAATAAAAACAGCCCAAGAGCTTGTAGTCTCTTAGTTGGACTTGTATTCAGTCATTTTCGTAAAAGATTTTATTCTTTGACACGAACCGCCATTCTCAAATATTAAAAATTAACGAGGTTTGCAAGAAACAAATTTACAATTCTTGGTACTAGGAATTCTCTATGGAAATCCATTGCATCTTAATTATATCAGGAAAAACTTATCAAGTATAGGTTATATTTGTGATGCCGTGCATCTAACTTGTTTTATTACCTCCTGCCCTTAATATAAAAATTAGTTAAGAAATTGAATTTGATCCTAACTCTTAATGAAAAACTTTAATTCATTGCCAGATTTGTTGGTTATCGTCTCAGTGGTGGTTACCTGCGTCATGGATTCCTTTTTTCTTTTTTTCAGGAATTTGTTGGTGGGGAAGGGATAGCGAGGCAATGGTAGGGAAGAAGAATATGGTGAGGAACGATGAACAGAAAATGATCAGACTTGACACTATAGAGGAGGGAGGTGGAAGAAGGTGATGTTTCACTTTCAGACGTGACCTTTTTTTTTTTTTAAAATAAAATTTTAGAGTTCAGACGTGGCTTTCATTATTCAGCTTTTAATAGAAATTTCTAACAGCTAAAAGATCTAATAAAAAGGGGGAAAAAATGCTAAGGGACTTGGTTCAAAAAATGAAAACTACAAGTATCTCTGCATTAGTTTTCTCAAATTAGAATCAATTTTTAGGAGGGAAAATGGAAATTGCCCTTTATATTCTCCTTCGTAATTATCCTCTAGTAATCCTAAGAAAAACAAGTACTCCTTCGGTGCTTAATATAGAACCTAGTTGTTAAGTTAATTTTGATTTTAAATATAAGATCTATTTTTCATATTTATTAATTTTTTCTCAATTATCCTCATAGATAGTCCTTCAGAAAAAATATATCATATTTCTTATAATTAACTAATTTATCTAACTTTCTTAATCTAATTAAATTTTTTAAAAATGTTTTATATTGAGAATCGGATGAGTACTATGATGAGATCAACCTTTAAATATTCAAAAGTTTAGTGCATTTTTTTTTTTTGTTTCAAGAAACAGTACATGTGGGGTCCATCTAGTTGATGCATACGCCCACTTCTCCTGTGGCCGGTGCCGGGTGCTGTCCCTGGGCAGCCCCATGAGTTTTCGCCTTCGTCCCACAGAAGAAAGGAGAATCTTTCTTTTTGGGTATAAAACTCTAAATTATTAAAACTTTAGAGAGCCCAAAGAGATGCCGCAAACCACAGAAATACCATGTGAGATGTTCAACTAGTAAGAATTAAGAATTGGGTCCAGTAAAAAAAAAACTAATTTCTCGTAACTTGATGAATTAAGATTTGAATTTCTGTTAATAAAGGTATCTATATTAAATATCCGACAATGTCTCAAATGAGATTATATTAAGTATCCGACAATGTCTCAAATGAAATTATCTCCAATAAAAAATACTCTTCTTTTTATAAATATAAGACCTTTATATAATATATAAAAGTCTTATATTTAGGATCGGAAGAGAATTTATACTTTAGAAAAAAAAAAATCATGTGAGGTGTTCAAGTTGAAGCTTCCAACTATTGACAGAGATGCATCTGAAATAAAAACCAACGGCACCAGATTTGATTCGATCGAGTGCGTTTATGGGCCCCTCACAAGTCACAACATTTATTTTAATTTTCGGAAAAATTAATATTTTGGTTCTATATTTTTAACTCAAGGAGTGTTTAGGAAATATCAGAAGTGCTTGTAAAAAGTAATTTTTTCATAAATCGAGATAAATTCTTTCACATATTTTTTTCGTATACCTTAAAAATACTTTTAAAATCATAGTTTTGATTCCATCTAAATACCCCTCAATTATAACAGGAATGACTCCAATTCATATAGTTCCTGTGGTTTTGTTTGTTTCTATGGCAATTCAATTCTTAAAGTTTAACTTATTGTAACTTAGTTCTTATAGTTTTGATTATTTAAATTTTAGTTCATAAATTTTATGAAATATATAATTTCATTTTTAAAAATATATATAGGGGCTAATTTTTTAAATGATTAGATCGGAAGATAAGGTAGAGATTTGTATGATAAAATAGAATCATACTTTCTTTAATCTTTATTAGAAGAACCTGTCTAAGAAATTTTAGGTCTTTCATATGAGAATATTTGATAGTTTCAATAAATATTGTTTTTTCATATGCGCAGTATGTCCATATTTAATAAGAATAATAAGAGAATAAAAATTAACATGATATTAAAATTTAATATTTTAAATTATTTTTATTAATATGTATGAATTAATTAATGAGTATTTTGTAATAAAGACCAAAGCAACTGAATTTTGATAAGTTTAAGTTTAGAAATTATTTAGTTATAATTAAAATATCGGGACTAACTTGCAAGTGGGTTCAAACTACACATCCAAAAGATCAATTTGCCTTTTATTTTCTCCTTTTAATGAATAGCTTCGCGCTCTCTCTCTCTTTGCGCTCCGTAAGATAAGCCGAGCTCTGCAAGTTTATTCCCAGAAGATATCGTTGAATCATCAAAACCAGAACCTGCCTCCAGAATTCAGGCATTAGCCCACAGAATCCCCAAACATACATATCTCATCGGTGCTGGAGAAAGTGAAATCTTCTAATCTTAGGGTTTCCATCATCTCCAGTATTTAAGAAGAAGAAGAAGAAGTGCTTCAGAATTATGAGCCCAGATAGACAAATGTGTATCGCAGAATATTCTCTTGTCATCTTCATCTCTCTCAGTTTCCTATCATCTTCCTCACTTCACAAGGCCCTCTCTTCAGGTACGTTTCTAACTCATCTTGCTTCATATTCTTATCGACTTCATTCCACATCAACTCAATAAACTAAAACAGAGCATGTGTGTGTGTGTGTGTGTATTTACTTGCCCATCTGTGCGTCTGATAAACTAAGGGTGGTAGGAAAAATTAGAGGAAATTCTGGACATTTTTCTTGTACCTTCCGAAGAATTGATGGTAATGTTTCATTCAACGTTTGGAAAAAGGGTGAGCCAAAAATTTCTTACGTCTATGATGGAGACTCAATACTTATATCATATATAAGTTTTAAAATTTTCTCCAATCGTTATTACCATTAGAAAATTTAAAATATATAGAAAATACTGATAAAAAAAGTTTGATGAAAAAAAGTAATTTTGTGTATCTAAATTATCTTTAAAACTTGTCGTCTCTTTCAAAATGGCCATAATTAACGCTTTGCTCTCTTTCCCTCTTTCTCTCCCACGCCTGACGGGAAATAACTGAATTGTGGGATGGTATTTTAACACTATCACTATCACGTATTTATTAGAAGGAGCTTTCCTTTATAAATTCTTTTCCAACTTTCCACCGAATTTTTATGGGAAGTTGACTCTTTTTTTTATTAAATTAAAAATATTATTATTTTATTGTAACAATAAAATATTATTATTTTATATTATTTTATTTTTAATTTTTTTAATTAAATTCTTAAGTAAAATTTAGGATATTACATGTTATATTTCATGTAAATAAAGTCAATGTAATAATAAATAAGGAGTAAAATTAAACATGTATATAAAATTTTTTTCTCAGTATCCTGTAAATAAAATCATAAAATATCTTTTCTCTTTCTTATAAATAAGATTTAGAGACAAAAAAAAAATTATACATAGATGTTGGTGGTCAAAAAACTTACGTAATCTAATCCACGTGTGGACTTGTAAAACAGCCTAAAAGTTTGTAGTCTCTTCGTTGGACTTGGATTCAGGCATTTTCATAAAAGATTTTATTAGCTGACGCGAACCGTCATTCTCCAATATTAGAAATTAACGAGGTTTGCAAGAAACAAATTTACAATTCTTGGTACTAGGAATTCTCTATGGAAATCCATTGCATCTTAATTATATTACGAAAAACTTATCAAATATAGGTTATACTTGTGATGTCATGTACTGACTTTGATATAAGAACTAGCTGAGAAGTTAAATTTAATCTTAACTTTTAATATAAAATCTTAATTCATTACCAAATTATTGGTTATCTTTTGAATGGTGTTGTTGCACCCTTCCTCTTCCACACTAGGATTCTCTATTTTTTTTTTCCCCGAGAATTTGTTGATTGTGAAGGGACAGGGAGGTATCCAATGGTTGGGAAGAAGAATATGGTGAGGAACAATGAACAAAAAATGAGAGATTGATCAGACTTGACACTATAGAGGAAGGAGATGGGGGAAGATGATGTTTCAATTTCGGACGTGACTTACTATTCTTTAATAAAACTTTAGAGTTTAGACGTGGCTTTCATAATTCAGCTTTTAATAAAAATTTCTAACACCGTTAGTCCTTATTTAACAGTTTTGCAAAAAATTAAATAACACGATAAAAAAAAATGCCAAGGGACCTGATTTACAAAGTGAAAACTATAAGTAACTCTAAATTAGTTTTCTCAAATTAGAATTAATCTTTAGGAGGGGAAAGGGAAATTGCCCTTTATATTCAGAAGAATTATAACGAGATCCCAAACAAAGAAAACAATTGAAAAACAAGTTCCAGAGATTGTCATTCTCACTAAAAGACTTGTTATTATAAGCTGTTGAGATTGTTATTAAGATTTTTTGATAATTATTTTTTTCTATGAGATTTGATTGTAATGTTCCCTTTATATTCTCCTTCATAATTATCCTCTATTAATCCTACGAAAAAAAGGTACCATATTGAGATCAAGATTTATATATTCAAAAGTTTAGTGCATTAAATTTTTTTTAAAAAAGAAACAGTATCATGCGGGGTCCATCTAGTGGATACGTGCGCCCACTTCTCTTCGGCCCGTGCCGGGTGCTAATCTCTGGGCAGTCCCACTGAATTTTCGTCTTTGTCCCAAAGAAGATAAAAGAATCTTTCTTTTTTCAAAATTATTAAAGGTTTGGAGAGCCCGCAAACCACAGCAATGTCATGTGAGGGGTTCCAGTTAAAGCTTCCCACTATTGACAGAGATACATTTCAAACAAAAACCAATGGCGCCCGATTTGATTCGATCGAGTAGGTTTAAATGGGCCCCCCACAACCTTTATTTTAATTTTCGGGAAAATTAATATTTTGATTCTTATTTGTAACTGATATGACTCCTGTACCTGCAGTTTTGGTTCTGTTGTGACTTGTTTCCTAAACTTCAAATGACTGAAGCTCAGTTCTTATAATTTTGATTATATAAAATTTTAATCCATAAACTTTATAAAATATATAATTTTACTTTTTAAAAAAATATGTAAGGGCTAAATTTTTAAATGATTAGATTGGGAGGTAGGATAGAGATTTGTATGATAAAATAGGATTATACTTTGTCTGGTCTTTATAGTTTCAATATATAATTTTTTTTCATATATGCAGTGTGCCCATATTTAATAAGAGCAATGACAGAATAGAAATTGAAATGATATTGAAATGGGTTAATATAATCTTTGGCTTTTTAAATTTGTATTTATTTTAATTTTGGTTTCTTAAATTTCAAATAATAAGTTTTGGTCCCTCTAAGGGCAAAATGATCTAAATTTTTATTAGATTATAAGGACCAATGTTTTAAATAAAAAAAACTTGAAGTAATATTAAAAATCATTTAAATTTTATGATATTTAATATTGTTAACTGTTTTTATTAAAATGTGTAAATTAATTAATGGGTTTTTATAATAAGGACACGAGGGAGGGAGTATGAAAGAGTCATCAAAATAAGCAACTGAATTTCGGCAAGTTTAGGAATTAATTACAATCAAATAAAAATTATACGAACTGAATTACAATAAACTAAAATATAGGGACTAAGGGTGTGTTTGGGTGACCCCCTAAACCATAGTTTGGAGATTATGTCACCCAAACACCCACCCAAAAACCAAAACCATGATTTTGACTTCAAAACTATAGTTTTAGAAAAAGCAAAACTTTTTTGTTTTTGAAGAAAAAAAGGAGAGTGTGAGAGCCTCTAGGATATGTATCTTCTTATTTTTTTATAAACATATTTAATATTATATTTTATAAATATATATACATATTAATTATTTATTAATTATATTATCTTATGTATTATTAATTATGTTGGTAAAAAATATATTGTTAACAATTTTATTCCTTCAAATTAAAATATATCATAAAATCTATTTTTTCTGTAATTATCATATTAACTTATGTCTTTTTTTTAGTAATTTGTATATATAAAAAGTGCTTCTGATAACAACTATCCAAACACTTTCACTTCTTAAAATCACTTTTTTATAAAATCTATTCTTCACAGAATCTATTTTCCCAAAAATCTATTTTTCAGAATTACTTTTCCAAACCACAGTTTGGTTTCATCCAAACACACCTCAAGTTGCAAGCGGTTCAAACTATGAGATCCGAAAGATTAATTTTCCCTTTAATATGTAGCTTCGCACTCTCTACCCTCCTGGCGCCGTGTAAGATAAGCCAAGCCCTGCAACTTCATTCTCAGAAGCTATCGCTGAATCATCAAAACCAGAACCTTCCTTCAGAATTCAGATATTAGCCCACAGAATCCCCAAACATACACGTCTCATCAGTGCTCGAGAAAGTGAAATATTCTAATCTTAGGGTTTCCAGCATCTCCAGTATCTAAGAAGAAGAAGCGTTTCAGAATTATGAGCCCAAACAGACAAATGGGTATCGCAGAATATTCTCTTGTCATCTTCATCTCTCTCAGTTTCCTATCATCTTCCTCACTTCACAAGGCCCTCTCTTCAGGTACGTTTCTAACTCATCTTGCTCCATATTCTCATCGACTTCATGCCACATCAACTCAGTAAACTAAAACAGAGCACGTGTGTGTACACACACACACACACACGTATTTACTTGCCCCTCTGTGTGTGTCTGATAAACTAAGGGTGATAGGAAAAATTAGAGGAAATTCTGGACATTTTTCTTGTACCTTCCGAAGAATTGATGGTAATGTTTCATTTAGCGTTTGGAAAGGAAAAGTGAGCCAAAACACTGGGAGAATGACATTTTCAGTTTAAGAAATCAATTTTATATTGGTTAATTGATGGAAAAAATTGATGAAAAATAAGTTGTGAAGATGGGTCCCTGCAGCTATAAATTAGGCATTTTAATTGTTATTATTTGTTTCTAATAATTTTTAATTTGAATTAACTTTTCAGAACTTAATCATTCAAAGTGTCAATTTTTTCTTACATTTGGTTCTGTTTAGTTTCAAGAAGCAAAGAAACTCGATGGAAAAGTACAAGTTTGCCTTCAAAGTTGGATAATTTTCCAGACACAGGATATTACTTATTTACTACCTTTGCTCTAAAAACCAGTTAATTAATTTGAGTAGATTAAGAAAATAAATTAAGTTAATTATTTATAATAAATAAGTGTTGTCTTTTTTAAAATATGCTTACTAATCAAGTTTATTGGTTAGAACCACAGTTATTAGGAGGATTATCTTAAAAAAAGAATGAATAAATATAAGAAATAAAGTAAACTAAGATCTTATATTTAGAATTAAAATAAAAATTAAATAAAGTCTTATATTTAAGATCTGAGTTAGTATTATTTTTTCACATAGCGTGTGGCTTTTTATCAATTAGTGGTCAGAGAATATCTGGGATGTTGTCAAGAGAGAATATATGTTTGATTTATGACGGGAGGGAGGTGGAAAACTTTGAATTTGTTCCCTGGCTCTTAACCTTTTCCCACGTCTTATTCTCTTCCCAGAAGTTTCAGATATTAAAATATTTTATTTTCTATTGCTTCCCATTACTTTATCTAAAGTGAAAATGTTAGACACATATTTTGATCCATTTGGTTGGATCTGGTTCAAGAGATTTGGAAGGGAAAAGAGGGATTTCAGTCTTGTTAGTACTAGTAAAAAGAAAGAGTCTAATATTAGAAAAATTAGTTTAGGGGGAAAAGTTCTTTCAACTTACAAACCATATGACATTTGTGAGGTTTTTTAATATGAGATTCATAACATTGTGCCTTATTCAAGAGTTGACATTTTTAGCAGCTGCACATGACACTTCACTCGACCTCCTTATAATCCTTTGTGGGTATTTTTTTGGTTAACACTAGCCTCTCAATAAAAGCATATTTGTTATGAATACAAGTGTAAAGGGAGAGCTTAATCCCAAAAGATTATTCTGTTAGAAAGGAGAGTCCTTTAAATTTATAGGGGAAAATTTCTTACTATAGCAATTTAATGTCCAGTTGCCCTTGGAGATTTTTATAACTTCACTGCACATTTGACCTAAGATAAAATTAAATTTTATGGGCAAAAAAAACATTGATATTGTTATTTTATTTTATCTTAAAAAAGTCAATTGTCGTGTGGTCGGCCTATTGACGGAAAGGAAAGCAAGTTAGTCAGGTCAAAAAATGGAAAGAGAAAGAAAAAGATAAAAAGAATGAATAAATGAAATGAATTAATCAGAACAAAAAAAAAAAAAACTCTGAAATTCTAAAACTACCTTTTTGACTTTTTGCGTTTAATAATTTTCATCTTTCTCATGTCATATTAGTATAATTTGGAGAAACATTTCTCTTCCCTTCTTGCTTCTCTTTATGTACTAAACATTAGTTGTTTACATTCATTTTCACTCCATTTCTTCATTTACCACAATTTCCATTCCTTTAAACATATTGTCCAATTAACTTCTCAATCTAGCTAATTCACAAGATTCTTTCCATTCATTCTTTTAATCATTTTTCTCACTGGTTTTTGGATAGAACTAATGCAGGAAAGTAAGTTTAAAGAAGGCAAAGGTTTACATGCATATAAGGCTAAAGGTGGCGGAGGCGCCGGCGGTCACGCCTCTGGTGGTCACGCCTCAGGTCATGTTTCACCAGGTCACACATCGCCCCACAACGGTGGGAATGGTGGAGAGTCAAGAACACCCACACAAGGAGGTGCGGTTATTCCAGCTTATGTTGCTGGTGCTGCAGGTGCTGCAAATGCAAATAACCAACACCACCGGAGCCACCATGGTACCAACAACGGCAGCTTTAATAGAATTGAATTTCCCATAATGCTCACCGTCATCTTCCTCTATACTCCTCTGCTTCATCTGTGTTTGTTCATATAGAAAGTGACTTCTTTTTTTGGCTATAAAACATGCATCTAAAATATTTATGTTTAATATTCAAAATTGGAAACGTTGAATATCTCAAAATTAAGAGTGTCATGTGAGATTTTAGAATGTCATAGGCTCACATCATTTTGATTTTAGTACTGTTGACTTTTTCAATTTTGACAGCATCTTTTAGATTTGGTCTGATTGTACAACATCCAGCGTATTATCAAAGACTCTCCCTAGTGCCAGTGCATGTGTGGTGTAGTGGCATGGTAGCCGCCTGTTGGTGGCCCTTATCAAGGTTCAATCCCTGCCCGTAAGCTCTGCTTGCCTACTTAAAAAAAAACAAAAGAAAAGAAAAAGGCTCTCCCTAGTCTTTTGCATGAAGTAGCTGTTTGTTTAGATCTTGGCCAAGGCTGACTATCCTATATTGTTCAACTTATGCATTATAGTGAGTTTGACATTTGTGATCAGCTCTCTCTCTCTCTCTCTCTCACACACACACAGACAAAAGCAAACAAAACAGCAAGGAAGCAAAAGGTCCGTTCACAAAATAAATGCCTCAAAGAATAGTTTTAATACGCACAAGAATGTTTGACTAATATACTTTGAAGAAAACTCAGGTAATTGCAAGTCAGAAATGTCCCATATATTAATAATATAAATATTATAATATATTTATTAGGAAAAAATTAATTCATTATTAGTTTCTTTTGGCATGATTTTTAGGAAAATTGGGAATTCATGCCCATTTAAAAATTTAATTGGTGAATTGTCCTTAGGAAAAGGTGAAGCCATGGGGATAGTCAGAGGAAATAAATAACATGGAGTGGCCATTTTGCTCTTTTGTGCAGCCCATATTTTCTTGTGTACAATCCATCTTTCTCATGCGTGGTTCATTTTTCTTATGTGCATATCGGTCCGTTAGCAACCCATCTTCCCTACGTGTGCAACTTACTTTCCTCTATGCAAATTATGTTTTGTATAACTCATCTTGTTTTATATGCAATCTGTTTTTTCCACATACAATTTATCTTTCATATGTGCAAACTATCTTTTTTGTATAACTCATTTTTTCTTTGTGTGTAACCCATCTTACCTTGTATTCAATCCATCTTTCCTACGTGTGATCCATCTTTTTTTGTGTGCAATCCACTTCCTTCTGTGCAACTTCCCTATATGCAAATTATGTTTTATGTAACTTACATTTCCTCTTGTGCAACTTATTTCTCTATGTGCAAATTATGTTTTGTGCAACTTGTGTTCGCACATTGAAAAAATGAATTGCAGATAGGAAAGATGGGTTATGTAAAACAATGGATGGTTTGTACAAAAGGAAGATGAGTTATAGGAAAGGGACTGATTTACACACAAAAAATAGATTGAACATGAGAAAAAATAAGCTACACAAAAAGTGATTTGTGTATACAGAAATAAGTTGCACATGGGAAGATGGATTGTACACAAAGATATTAATTTGCACGTAAAAAAGATAGATTGCACACAAGAGAAGATGAAGGGTTGCACAAACGAAAGATGGGTTACACAGAAAGGAAAATGGTCATTCAATATGGTTACGTATTTTCCCTAAAAGAGCTCAAGGCTTCACCGTGTCTTAGTGACCATTTCCCTTTTAAATATTTAAATGGGGATTTATACCTAGGTTTTCCAATTCATTTTCATTTTCAAATTTCGTTTCTATTTTTATTTATTTATACTAATATTTTGAAAAACTATAGGACCTAATTAAAATCAAGTAAAATTATACGAATATATATATATATTAATTTTTTGAAATAATTTTAAAATGTCAAAAAAGTAGAGCCAAAGTGAAATAAAAAATGGTGCAGAGTTCGTACATAACCAACGTAGTAGGAAAAATTAATATATAATTCCCTTTAATTTGTCCTTATTTTTAATCATGTCTTTGTAGGTTTCTCTTTTTAACTAGTCATCACAATTTTGCCTGATTTTTAATTAGATCTTGTGATTTTTTTAAAGTTCTTATAGTCTCACCTAATTTCTAATCAAGTTTTTACAATTTTTTAAATTTTAAATAAATTTATAATTTTTAATTTCGTTTCTATTTAATTTCAAATAAACTATTTATTATCATAATGAAATTCAATATTTAATTAAGTTCAATATTTTATTATAAGCTTTAGTAGATAATATAAAAATATTTAAAAAGCCGTTTGATAATTACACGATGGTAGCGTGGTTTGCTATCGAGGGTCTGCATTTTGTGAACCAAATTAGTCCATCGTTGTAAGTGCCGAATTGATGAGAAAAAACATACAACTCAAGTCTGAGTTACACGCAGTGAAAATATTTTTTATCACTTGTAAGAATCTCTAAGGTAAACAAAACATAAGAAACCAAAAATGAAAAGAAAAAGAAAAAGAACTGGACATGAAACAGGTCGAAATAATGATTTAAGGGTGAGATCGGCATCGGACAAGGACAAACCAGAAACAATTAAAATAATATGATTTAATTAAAATGAGTAAAGATATTCATATTTTGATTATAAAAACAACGTTTGTTTTTTGAAAGGCTACTCATATTACAAAATCTCTTTTCTCTTTTTTCTCCCTCTTTTCCCTCACATGACCCGATGAAATATTCTTTTCATTGTTATTTGACCTTTTTCTTCTCTCTCCCATGTGGGTATTGGACTTTTTCTTCCATGACACATATCACAAGGTCAGCTTTTTCCTCTTCTCCCCTCCTTGAACAATGATCATGGCAGATTCAAAATTTGCTTTTTGAAACACACGTCCGTTCTCTTTCTTACTGGTTCCTCCTTCTCTCATGATCGCATTTCTCTTTCTTTCTTAGAGAAAGGTGAGAAACAGGAACCATTTTCGTCAATGCACGTCCATTCTACTTGTTATTTATCTTTCTCCTTGCCTTTGACTCTTCGACGAGCATAACAGCTTCGAAGCGGCACGCAACAGATTTCCACACCAAAAGAGTCCACTTTGATTTGCATGGTAGAGGAAAACTTCTTAAACGGAGGAAACGTTAAAAACTGGGTCACAACGAGTCAAATTCCAGGATTTAAATTATAATTGAGTTGATAGTTTGGAGGTCAAATGATTAATTTTTTCTATTTTATTTTAGGAAAAATGGCAAATAAAGATTCTCAATATATGAAATTATAATATGGGACTCTCAATTTAAAAAATGACAAATAAAGACCTAATCTCATTTGCAAATATGAAATTTTGGTGAAATGTCTGAAATACCTCTCAACCAAATTGTGATTTGATCTATTGAAGTTATTATTCGCTAAAGTTAACTTGTCATTTTTCATAGTTAACTTGTCATTTGACACATCCTCAGCCAAGTTGTGATTTGGTCTACTGAAGTTATTATTCGTTAAAGTGAACTTGTTATTTTCCATAATCAACTTGTCACTTGACTAAGCAGCATTTCAGATATTTCACCAAGACTTCATATTTGCAATATGAGATTAGGTTTTTATTTGCCATTTTTCAAATTAAAGGTCTCATATCATAATTTCACATATTGGGGGCTTTTATTTACCATTGTCCCTTTATTTTATCGACTTCTAAAGTTGCTGATGTCTACTTCCCATTAAAATGTTCTCGTTCTCTTGGAGATTTTTTTCTAATGATTTTAAAATTAAAAAAAAACTGCAAGGATTTTTTTTTGGGCATCAATTCATGTCTATTTTATTTTTTTTTTGGCCAACTCCGAGCAAGTGGATAGGTTCCATATGAATACTAGTTTTTAGTTAGATTCAATGTTTCAATCCATACAAAATTTTTTTAATTAAGTATCTACATTGAATGTTGTTGATGAAGAATAGAGTGAGAAAAATATAATAGGAAATAAATAAAAAGGAACTTTATTGCTTACACACAAACACAAATTAGAATATGGAAGAACATGTAAATATCACAATCTAAATATGAGAAAATTAAATTTATTTATCATTTATTCATAAGTCATTTAAATGTATTTATTTGAGCTTTTGAAAAAAAACCTTTTATTTTAAAAAATTCTTCATTATAAGCTATTCTATAACTACTCATAGTTCCCTATACATTAACATTCACTGATGCTCAACACGAGGAAAGAGGGGAAAATTAGATACAATGTATTGACGAGATACATAGTACATTTGAAAACTTGAATTAGCTCCTCTTATTTAATTAAAGATCATCCTCATAGGACATAAACCTAAGGAAAAATAGCAAATAAAGACCCCCAATATATGAAATTGTGATTTGGGACCTTCAATTTGAAAAATAGCAAATAAAGACCCAATTCCATATTGCATATATGAAATCTTGATAAAATGTCTGAAATGCCCCTCAGCCAAGTTGTGATTTGATTTACTGAAGTTGTCATTCGCTAAAGTGAACTTGTCATTTCCCATAGTCAACTTGTCATTTGGCATACTCTCGGTCAAGTTGTGATTTGGTCTATTGAAGTTGTTATTTGCTAAAATGAACTTGTCATTTCCTAGAGTCAGCTTGTCACTTGGCCAAGAAGTATTTCAGATATTTCACCAAGATTTCATATTTGTAATATGAGACTAGATCTTTATTTGTCATTTTCCAAATTGACAGTCCCAAATGGCAATTTCACGTATCGGAGAATCTTTATTTGCCATTTTCCCTAAACCTAAACACTCTCTCTCTCACGTGCACGCACACGTACATAGGAGAGGATATTAAAGTGACTGTTTGCGAATGAAAGCATTTAAATTGCCTTTCTTTTCTCTCCTTTTGGAAGAAAAATTGTTGCTTGGCTTGTGCTTGAGGCTAGGGTTCTTGGCGACTCTGATCTCCCCTCGATGTTTGCCACATGAGATTTTGAGGTAGGTGTTGGCGGAAGCTCCTAAATTCTCCAAGATCCAGCAGATCTTCCAGCTCCTTTGTAATGTTCTAGGAATCCTGTTGATGGTAACACCTGCACAGAAATGATAAATCCGAGTCGTATCCTGCAGACATTGTCCTTAAGAGATATTCCACAACTACTGGCAGAGCAAGAAGTGGCACTCCCCAAGATTAAACGGATTCTTCCTGTAAGAACAGGGTGAGCAGAACAGCGAAAGATAAAAGAACTCAGTAAAGCAAAACACCAGAGGAGGAAAGAGAGTTGCCTGAAAACTCAGACCACGGCAGCCCACTGTGAACTTCCATCTCATACCCCTTTTATAGGGTACGGATCACAAAGGCACATTTAAACGCGCTTAATGATAATTAACTCATAATTAAATGAGCAGTTTCAAGTAGTAATTAACTTGTTTAATGACTATTTAAGAAGAATAAAATCTTCGGTTACGAACATTGAAGAGGCATAATTGTAATTAAAATTTAGATAGATATTTCTAACAAAGTGCCCAGTACCGCATTTGAGTCGTGCACAAGAGGGTGAGGGGAAATTGCCGGATTTGTCTCCGGTGGCCCATTGTGCACGTGAGTCCACTCCTCCT